TCAGTTCTCGGACAGATGTCCTGACATTTTCCTTCAGAATTTGCTGGTATAATTCAGATTTCATTGTTCCATCAAAGCCGTCCTGGACCAGATACAGCAAAACAGGCCCAAACCATGATACTACCACCACCATGTTTCACAGATGGGATAAGGTTCTTATGCTGGAATGTAGTGTGTTCTTTTCTCCAAACATAACGCTGCTCATTTAAACCAAAATGTTCTATTTTGGTCTCATCCATCCACAAAACATTTCTCCAGTAGCCCTCTGGTTTGTCCCAGTTAGCCTGCTGTCCTTTGAAACCTAGTGGACTTTTACACGTCTTGCTTTTAGAGTGATCTTTGTTGGTGGAGCACTCCTGGGAGGGTAACAGTGGTCTTGAATTTCCTCCATTTGTACACAATCTGTCTGACTGTGGATTTGGGGAGTCAAAACTCTTTAGAGATGGCTTTGAAACCTTTTCCAGCCTGATGAGCAACACCAACTCTTTTTCTGAGGTCCTCGGAGATCTCATTTGTTTGTGCCATAATACACTTCCACAAACATGATCAGACTTTGATAGATCCCTGTTCTCTAAATAAAACAGGGCACACACTGACACCTGATAGTCATCTCACTGATTAAAAACACCTCTGAACAGATGGACTCACCATCAAATTAACAGCTAATCCTAGAGATTCACATACTTTTGCCGCTCACAGATATGTAATATTAGATCATTTTCCTGAATAAATAAATTCCAATGTATATATTTTTATCTCATTTGTTTGATTGGGTTCTCTTTGTCAGCTTTCAGGACTTGCATGAAAATCTGATGATTTTTTGGGTTATATTTATGCAGAAATATAAACAATTCTAAAGGGTTCACAAACTTTCAAGCAGCACTGTTTGTTTGTTTTTTTCTTCTTTTTTTATTTCCCCACCAAAATATTAAGCAGCACAATTTTTTTCAGGAATCTTTGATGAATAGAAAGTTCAAAGGAATAGCACTTACTTGAAATTTAAATCTTTTGTAACATTATAAATGTCTTTACTGTCACTTTTGATCAATTTAATGCATCTTGCTGAATAACAGCATTATTTTCATTAAAAAACATTTAAACTTTTGAATGGTAGTTTAAATATGAAATATTCCTATGTATGTATGTATTTATTATTATTATTAAAAAAGCATTTTCTTTTTCTGTACCAAGTTCCATGTGTACGTTGTTTAAAATCTGGCAAAACTCCAAATAAATTTCAGTCATCATAGGTTATCAACCACAACAAAAATATAATAAATATTTAAAAATCGCATCAGCCAAAATGTCTGTATCAGCACATCCCTACTGAAAACGTAACCAATCTAAAAAAAGAAAAAAAAAGAACAGTTCTCATACATTCAATGCTAAAATATGTAGGATGTTTATAGTACTATGGATTTCATATAGAGTTAACTGAATTTAACGTTGCCCAGTTTCATTGTACTGACCAAAATACAATAAATCCATTCATTCATTCAATCAGATTGATCCGGTTTGACATGCATACCTTCATTCACATCTGGCTTAGTGTTTTTTATGAAAGCTGAGAACTTTGCAAATATGTCATTCCCAGCTGTGTTTGACTCCCTGTGCCTGGCTGCAAGTTTGGGGTACCTTGGACACAAGGAAAGGTGCATAGAAAAACATGTGTCAGTATTCTTTACAGTTCTAGTTCACAATGGTTTAATGTGATGTTTAATACAATATACACTGCGTAAAAAGTCTAGGGTTGCGGTTCTTAACTGGTGGGTTTTGACCCAAAAATGGGCTGTAGGCCTGTTCTCAAAGGCCATAGAAAAAAATATGCTAAATGCAAATAAAGAAATAAAAGATAAACGCTAAATAAATCATTTTGATAACCTCTCCATTTAATTTGCACAGGCTGTGATGCTAGATATTCCATTATTAGTAATATTAATAGATTTGAAACGTTGTTTAGTTGCTAAACAGTTTTGGTGCTGTGTTTGACCATGATTGATTTCCAATGTAAAATCTGGGTTCTGAAGCAAAACCAGTTGAGAACAGCAGGTTTAGAGTTTCTATACATTCACGATTCGTCTCAAGGGTATTTGTAAACATTTGCTTACTTTGGTGGTGCCAAAACCTCCTCCAGAAACTCCTCGATCTTGTTAATGTCTGTCTTCAACTCACCGTTGAAGGTCAGGAAAGGAGGGTGAGTGCCTGGAGCCAAATTGTGCAAATCAGCTGGTTTCCTGAATTAAAATAAAAGAACATTTTTTATTTCTTAATTTTAAGAATTTTAATTTTAAACCAGCCCAGCATTGCACTGCATAAAAAATTTAGATATTAGATTAGATTCTTTTTCATTTTTGTATTTGCAAAGAAAAAGTCTGAACTATATTTTCCTGCTTTGAGCTTTGACATGCAAAATTGATCATATTTTAACAATATCACTGTTCCATAACCTAGAACTGACGGCATGTAACTTTTTTTTTTAGGTTTTTCCATTTTAATATCCAATGGAAATGTCATTTAATAACATGAAGATGTGACATTTGTTATTTATATACTTATTCAAGTTTCATGCCATTTAATCTCAGATCAGTGAAGTTCTCACCTCTTCAGGTCGACAGTGGTGACGTTAAAGACCACACCTTTGAGCCAGAGGATCATGAAGAGGCGTTGGGAGAAAGGACAGTTTCCAATGCTCTCGCCATCACAACCAGCCTACAAATACAACAACACATCTTTACATATACATCACCTCCAGGGATCAGTAAGTCTTAATTTATCTCAATGCCAATACCATGAGCCAAAGATGTGGTGGAGATCAGTTCTCGTTCTAGAGCGAAGAGACTGGATTGAGAATGATAAAGTGTCATGGCGCCCCCTGCTGCTGCTTCAATGTTTCAATGGACTTTGAGAACAGAGTTTACCTGAAGTCTAACTACAAGGACATTTTCAAGTAAAATAAGAATCACTTTAGAATTATATTAAATAAAATCAGTTTTCTGCATTCATTCAATTGGTTTGGCATATTATGCCCCTTTTTACAACATATAAGTCTCTGGTGTCCCCAGAATGTGTCTGTGAAGTTTCAGCTCAAAATACTCCACAGATCATTTATTATATCTTTTTGAAAATGCCTATTTTGAGTGGAAGCAGAAACACGCTGTTTTTCGGGCCTGGCTCTTTAAATGCAAATGAGCTGCTGCTCCCCACCCCCTTTTCCAGAATAGAGCTGCACCTTTACAGCTCGGACCTTCTAAAAACATTTGTTTTCGTTCTGATTATCATGTTTATCACACTGAAATGCCCATGCGTTTTAAACCATATGAGTTTAAACTTCTTATATACGGTTTTCTGAGTGCACACGGACAGAAAGCGGCTGTCACAGGCATGTGAGTACTAAACTAATTTCTCATTCACACACAAGTTTACGTTAAAAACACACGAGTTACAAAAACAGTCGGTATGTCTATGAAGGTAAACAGCTGGGAAATAAATTGCATGTTTATTCTAGATCTGTGTGGCAGCAGCAATATACAGTAAATAAATCAATAAATTCACTGCTCTGTTGTCTCCTCTGAGGCTGGAACTGTAAATAGTGTTCTGTGCTCGTCTGTACAGCCAAAGACATAACAATTAGCATGTTTTGCTTAAACTTTCGAACCGTTGTTGCTTGCGAAATCAAATGACTGAGCCATGGGTGGAAACTTACAGATTAAGGGGCGGTAATATTATAATGAGATCCCTTTGCCACGTCACCAA